TTAAGGAAATCTGAGAAAACATTAAACAACAAAACAAGAAAAACATTAACTTGAAGAAAACAGAAGACAAAAAGCAGAAGAAAACTTGAAAACAACCACTAAAATTAATTCACATCTTCAAGGAGGTAAAATGTTACATCCACCAAAGGCCAACCCAGGGGTTGGCAAATTTAGTCAGTTAAAAAAAAACAATGAGCTCTTTTTAGATTCAGGCAGGTTATTACTTACATAAACAGTGAGAAAACAGTAGTCAAAGGTGCCAAGTCCTCATGGCCCTTGTGCAGGGAGACACCAAAGTAAAAGGGACCACATGGTTTCAAAGAAACCAGGGTGGCAGATGGGAAAACTGATTCAAGACATCTTTCTGCAAGACAGGGAACCTCCCTCAAAAAAGAAAAGGTAAATTAAAGTTCTTGTGAGACTCTTCACAAGACTACCTGTCTGGCCATGTTCCTAGGAGGACTGCAGGTTGTTGCACCAAGATGTAGGCTGGCCGGAGGTTCAAGCTCTGCCTGCATGGCCTACCAGGATATGAGCAAGGTCACTTGGACACCAGGGTGCAGCCAGCCACTGCCCTACAGACACAAGAGCATAATGCTACTTTTAAGAGGGAATATTCAAAAAAATAAATAAATAAAAAATAAACGGGAATATTCAGAGAATAAAAAATAAAAAGATCTTTGAGATATTAAAAATATAATTATTTTAAAAATCAGTAGAAGAACTGGAAGAGAATAGTGAGAAAATATACAAGAAAGTAGAAGAAAAAGATGAAAAACAGAAAATATGAGATAAAAAAATGTAATAACCAGGCTAGGTACTGGTATCTTAATAAAAGGAGCTCCAAAAATAGATTTTAGAAAAAAAAAAAAAGAGGGAAGGAACTTACCTAAAGTAATATTTAAAAATTTCCCAGACCTGAATGACATTAAATTTTCCCATTAAAAAAGTTCACCGGTGATTACCTCAATGGATGAAAAAGATCCATTCTCTGACACATCATCAAGAAATTTCAGAATATTGGGAATAAAGATTCTAATAGCTTCTGAAGAGAAACAAACAGAAGACACACTTAAATATCAAGAATCAAAATGACAAATGACTTCTCAATAGCTTCAGTGGAAGTTGGAAGGCATGGGAGTAATCCTATAAAATTCAGAACAATGATTTCAGCCTAGACATCAACACTCACATAATCTTTCAGTGCACTGTATAGATAGAACCGAGCCATGTGGAGACACACCAATGAATCAAAACAATTTACTGTTCCTGCATTCTTTCACAGGAAGCTGCTAGAAAAGGTACACCACCAAAATGAGGGAATAAACTAAAAGATGAAGACAGAAGATTCAGGAAATTGGGATATCCAACATGAAAGGGGTGAAGAATAATCAGTCCAGATTATCATAGAACAGAGTTCAGGAGGAATGTCTTTAGAGAAAAAAAAAAAAGTTATATTATATAATGTATTTGAACCTACTGAGAAGAGATTTTTAATCCTGGAGAACAGTTAGGGTATAAGTTAATGTGTGCTACATAGAATACTGAGCTAATGAAATAATAAGGTAATTACATTATTAATTCCCCAAAACTTAAAACATAACTGGATCCAAAAAGAAAATGTAATTACAGATACCACACAACCCAGCTGTGAATAGTATTTACGTAGTCAAAATAGTGTTAATATTGAATGTTATCCAAAAGTGTGATGTAACTGCACCATTTTGAGAGGATGGAGGAGGAAGGTATGTGTTTAGGGAAGAGGTAGAAAAAATAGATCTCCATCTTCATATTCCAAAACAGATCAATAAAACCTAAAACTGAACTATCAAGAAAGAGCATAATAATCATGTTACTTAGAAATACAGAGATAAATAGAAAAATCACTAAAAGATTTGAAAGTGGTTATCTCTTAGTAGCAAAAGCTGGTATAAAAAGAATAGGGAAGGAGAGTTATTTTTCATTTTAAGCCTTGGGGAAAAAACCCTTTACTAACTTAAAATTATATACTTATTATCTTGAAATTTAATAAAACAGTAAATTAAGGATAACTTACATTTATGGGCCAATGTGAATAATTCTAGACAGTGTACTTATCAAAAGATCCTGACAATAAAGACTCTAACAGGCAAAAGGAAAAAAGTAAAAAACCAAAAACTGGATTGTTCATAGCCAGCAACACTGCAGTACAAAAAAGGATTAAACAGACTGCTTCAGGAGCACTTGGGTGGCTCAGTTGGTTAACAGGCTGCCTTAGGCTCAGGTCATGATCCCAGGGTCTTGGGATCTCAGGCTCCCTTCTCAGTGGGGAGTCTGTCTCACTCTCCCTGTGCCCCTCCCCCAACGCTTGTGCGTGCGCTCTCTCAAATAAATAAAATCTCTAAAAAAAATAAACAGGCTGCTTCATTTTTGAATCAGGGAAAAGGGGAAGGGAAGTAAGAAATAAGCTTACAAAATTGTACAGTATTCTGTACTGAAATCACACAGTATTATAGCAGAAACAAATCTGATATATTGGCTAACAATTTATTTCATTTTAGTTACTTTCCAGGGTAACACAGCTGGTTTGTGCAGAATCGAACCCTCTGCTCTTAACTCACAGGCTTTTCATTTCATCACAATGCATTTTAAAAAATGATTATCAAATATATCTGCATTCCTATTGATAATATTCATTAGCATTTTTTTGTTTTAAAAAGGGAATCTACTTGAAAGAAAGCATAGAGAGGCAATTGCAAATCCAACAAGGCCATCACATAGGCAGGCTACATATGCCATTATGCCTTATTTCATTGACTGGAAATGTTCAAGAAAAGCATTTGATAGGGAAAAGACTAACATTAAAACAAGCAAATAACCTGCCACCCCACCACAAAAAAAGAAAGAAAAATATAAAAAAACTAAGTTTTAAGTTAAAGCATATTGGTGTTTTACTTAAGGATTAAACAGGTACAATAAAGGAAAAATACCTGTAACTAAACTCTTTTCCTACTTTTCATGATGGACTAGAACTGAGAATTTTTGAAATTTTTAGGCTGCCAACTTTATTTGGCCCAAATCATGGGTTCATTATCTACCTTGAAAATGACATTGAAAATGTTTACTTTCTTGCAATTTGTATTACTGTCCAAATGATTCAGAATACTTTTACTCAGATAGTTAATCATGCCCTAGAATCTAGTATTTGCTGAAAGTAGATTTTGGCAACAAGATTTATAAGGAAAAAACACCTGCCTGATAGTTAGAAGGAGTTGATGGCGTTCATTAAAGGATTTGGGGGTTCAGTAGATTTTTCATAATTAGTATGTTACACTGGCTACTTGGTGTAATAGGTTTTTAAGATATATTTGAGTGGGTGAATCAGCAGGATCATCAAAAAGTGGCCCAAGGCCAAACGCAGAGGACCTGTTATTATCAGTTACCACCTATCATTCAAGGTCCTCATCAAATACCAGGATTACTTCAATTTGAATAAAAAATAAGGCTGTCAAAACCTTTTTTGATCTTCTAATTTACTAATTACACATTACATAAAAATTCTCCTTACCATTCTGAAAAACAAACTGAGAGTTCTAGAGGGGAGGGGGGTAGGGGGATGGGTTAGCCTGGTGATGGGTACTGAGGAGGGCACGTTCTGCGTGGAGCACTGGGTGTTATGCACAATGAATCATGGAACACTACATCAAAAACTAATGATGTAATGTATGGTGATTAACATAACAATAAAAAATTATTTTAAAAAAACTAATGATGTAATGTATGGTGACTAACATAATAAAAATTTAAAGTATAAAAAAAAATTCTCTACCTTGGTAAAAGGGAGGAGCATAAAAAGCAGTAGCACCTGTATCTTTACTATTACTCAGTCTATTCTGTGCTAAAATCTATACTGTAACATCCCTGAGTTTGAGATTCTGAACAAGACTAAACACCTCAGAGGTATTTAATAAATACCTGTGAGTTGACGATTTAAATGGCAGCATTAGATCAATATATGGTATTCTCCCATTTACTTAGGCTTTCCTAAAACAAACATATTCCTATTCTCCAAAGTCATTCATTTTTCAAAAAGCTCTTGTGTCTTTCAACACTTAAAAAAAAGAAGAGCTGATTTTCCAAGGTAGGAAACTAAGTGGCTTCTAATTTGTTAAGCTCATTCTACCTCACACATACCACTCTAGTCAAATGTCCTCTAGACCATTCTGCACAATGAACAGAGCAGACACACAATGCTTCATGAAGGTGGTAACTAGGCAGCTACAAAGCACTCAGACCCTTATCTACTGCTGTATGTTTAATCACACAAATGTCATCTACTGCATTTTATAATTAGTAAGCAGCAATAGTTTGTTCCGTACTACTTTGTTATTATTTTAACTTTCAGTTGAAATAAAAAATTATTTTGCCATAATCAATGCTTTTCCATCTTGAAGCAGAACTCACTATTCGAATCATACCCGCATTTACCAGCCTAAGAGAAGTACCCCAGATGACACAGGCCTGTGCTACATTAGAAAGATCCCGGGGGGGAAAAATATGACAGGATTATTTAAAGGCATATTCAGAAACAACAAAAAAATAAATTTGTAACTTTGCAACTCTTACGTTTCATAAACACTATTTCCACAAGAAACTCTCTAAAATTTACATATAATTAAGCCAGCTAATATAACACAATCCCAACAAGTTTTATGTATGAGGAAAATCTTCATACATTAGTAGAGCATGGTTTACAAATAAAATATATTTGTTAGCAAGTATAAAAACAGTGGTTTCAGATTTATATTTTAGAAAAAAATTAATTTATTTTAAGAGTCTCTACCTAAATTTATTTCAGTATCAAACAACTACAATTAGTAATGGGGCAAAAAGCATCCATTATTGTGCAGGATGTTAATTTATTTACAAAAACTATACAAAATTAGATTAATTATAACATTGACTTATCAAAGCTTCCTGAAATTAATTTTGCTTTTGGAAATGTATCAAAAGTCTTCAGATCCAGGATGATAGTCTTTATTATTTTTAATTCATGGAATTATAGCACATCAGATCTTCAAGCAAAAACATGAGATAAAAGCCTGTACAATAAAATATTCTTTTCCTAATACCTTGGAATGTAAATGCAAATATGTTCCCTTTTTACTGAAGAAAAAAACTTGAACAAAGTGTCCAATAATATCAAATACCTGTTAGAATGGCTTGTCTGCTGGAATTAAAGTTGGGCAATTACTTCTACATTTTTAAAAATGGCCTTAAATTAAGTCCCTTTTTTCTTTTATAAAAAACATTTTTCTCAGCCATTTCAGACCTCTAAGCCTTACAACAAAAAATGTTATTCTGTTTTTACCAGTAAATTCACACCCACAGAAGGTGTCTCCAAGACAGACTTATTTTAAAAGCGCATATAAGCATGACTAAATTTCTTAAATTGTTAACAAATCTAAAAGCAGTAATTTAATATTCTACCACAAAATATAGGTAACCTTAAGAGCAACATGCTTGGTCAATCTTTCTTAAGCTTTTAGGTTTGATGCCAAAACATTTAAAAATGAAGGAAAAAATACAGTGACTCTTTGCTAATGGCTTTTCAGATATTAATTTGCAGACATAGCTAAATGCTCATCTAACAAAGTATCCAGGTTATCCAATGATATCTGCCATAAATTCATAAAGCAATAACACATATATAAAAGTAACAACAGTAAAAAAAAAAAAAACCACAGGTATTTTAGGCCTAAGATGAGTTTATCTAATAAGGATTACATGAGAAATACCACATAAGACTCAAAATAAACTTCATATACAAAATTATATGATGTGGCTTCGCTCCAACATACCTAGAACTCAGATTCAAGTCAAATAATTAGGCTGGTTTTTTTATATCACCAGCCTTCATTAGGGCTTTAATAGCTCTCGCCCTCATCTCAAGTTCTAGCAGCTCCAGCTGCTGTGCGGAAGGCTGAACATCTTCTGGTGGAGGAACGGTCAGGGTGGCTGCTTTGGGTTCCTTTGGGCTAGACTCTGCCAGTCCCAGAATCTCATTCACACTTTTCTCAATGTCTTTCTCCAGGTCATCTATCTGACCAGCTTCACTTTGGACTGTATTTTCAGGGACCTCAGGAGCAGCAGCTTCTTCGTTGCATGGGCCTTCTATGTCGCTGTCATAAGCATCTGCATTTATACTGAGTACATCACTATCTTCCCCTTTGCCTGTAACAAACAAAAAAGGGGAAAGAACCATGTAACCTAAATGCCCTCATCAAAATTTCCTTTCTATTTATGATTAAAAGGCTTCTTTGACCCCACCTCCCACCATGGAGCCCCAAACACATTCCACAACCTCTATCCCAACCCCTTTTCCCCTGACTCCTCAACTTTGAAAACAGATATAATTTAATGTAAATTTTAATGTATTTTCATTCCAATTTAGAACATGGAAGCATTGGAAAATTTATACCATCACATGGAGTTCCATGATCTCTTTTCCTAATTAAATTGTCCCAACACTTCATATCACAGGGAAGCTTCTACATTACAAAATGAAAGCTGATGTTGGAAACCCTGAGTAAAATATTGCTTATTAATGAAAAAGTAAAATTCCATCGTAGGAGGAATTTAAAATACTTTGCTTTCTTTATAAACTACAAAAAAGGAAAAATATCCCTGGCAAGCTGGACACCATCTGCATTGCAATTATCCTAAATCTTTTCATATGCTTTTCCAAACACTTTGTTCTAAATCAATAAATTAAAGGAGAATGCCTAAGGCCAAGTTTTCATCAAGAGGATTTTAATTAATAAAGTTAGTACACTATAATTTTTAAAAATGCATTTGTTATAAAACTTCTGTAACTGATGCTAAAACCTTGAATATAGACAGATTATAGCCCCAACTACCTTGGCTTTGGACATTAAGTCCAGATGTCATTTAAACTTTGGGTACTCACTTAGACCTCCAATTCATTTATCTTTTGAATTCCTAATTTCTTTTTAAAGTCATGAACCCCCAACTGTTAGCTTTGCTAGTCTTATATAAGAAAAAACTTACTGACAGATGGAAAATTCGGATAATACAAAGTATAGGGGAGGCCATAAACAATTCTACTCCACTGGTTTTATAGTAACAATTTACTGAGCCTGACTGACCCTCCTACATCCTAATAATTAAAAAACTACTCCCTATTCCAAAATTAATGTGGAAAAATGAATCAATAAATTATATTTGTGCCTACAAATAGAACTTGTAAAAAAAAAACAAGGTTGCAATTTTAATTATTTGATGCCAAAGAATATTTTACCTATCTCCCCCAAAGCAATGCATATCTCCAAACAGCTTAAAAAAAAGAAAAAAAGAATATAGCCTTTTGTGTAAAGAAATAATGCTTAACATAAGTATTGCAATTTGAGACAAAAACAAATTAATAAATGAAGGGCTAAGTTGTTCATAGTCTCAGAAAGTTCATTTTCATGCTTAGCCATCTTTAATGTAAAATTATAAATCTGTACTCACTGATTCTGAGTGTAAATCTGCAGTCTGTTTAAAAGATTTTAAAACATAAATTTCTGAAAAACGGTGATTTGTTTTTCAAACTAGAAGTCATTGCCTGATCATGAATTAAGAGCAGAAGCATATAACGATGTGTGGGGAAAGAAGGGGTCTGAAAGTTGGGATACCTGAGTTCTAAACCTTACTGTGCTATTAAGTATGTGATTTTGGGCAAATCCCTTACCTTCCCAGAATTTCTCTCCTGTAAAAGTTTAGGCAAATTGTCCTAGGATATCTCTAAAGTACAAGGTCTAGTATTACAGTAAGTTAAGTCTATATAAAAGTTTATAAAATGCAATACTTTATTTTTCTTCTCCCAAGATATGTTTACCACTTATCTTTCACTTGATACACTCATCACTTGAATAGTAATCCAAAAGAATTTCTTTTTGATAGCAGTAGCCAATGAAAGATAAGTAACATGTCAGTAAATCACATTTTACTTAAATTTTTTTCACTCAACAACCTTTTTTTATTTAAGATTTTACTTTAAGCAATCTCTATACCCAACATGGGGTTCAAACTTATAAACCTGAGATCAAAAGTCATACTCTACCGACTGAGTCAGCCAGGCACCCCTGACCTTTTTGATACCAGATTTTCTAGAAAAAATAAGTAATTTACAACATCCAGGCAATATAATGGAAGCTCACTTATTATCCTGGGTCCAGGATTCAGTATGTAATGATACAACTCTGGAATCCCTTATACGCTAAATCACAATTTTTGAAGTAGCTGTACTTTTATGAAATTAATTTGCTTTGAATTTATATGTGAGTAAATAGAAAATCTTAGAGATATTTTTATTAAATAAGTGGAGAATCTACACTAGTAGATCCTTAAGACATACGTGGCAAATCTTCTAGCTAATTATCACTGTCATATACCATTAGCCTATATTTCTTACTGAAAGACTACAGGAATATATATGAATGTGTACAAATATTTTTTAATGGAATGTACCTTATGTTCATATTATTTTTGTGTGTTTTTCCAAACACTTCAAATGGCTAAGAACCAATGAGCTACATATATTCTCACCTAATTTTTTAAGCCTATAAGCTTAAGAAGCAACCACACAGCTAAAGAGCTCTTCTGCCCTGAGCTTGTAATAATAAAATCCTTATTTTATAAAGTTACCAGCACCAAAGATTCAGAATCAAAGTGTTTATAGACACTCCCCATGTTTCAAAGGAGGTAAATCTTGACAAGAATTTTTTTTCATCTATATATTCTATGGGTCTGTTTCCAACTTTTTAGTGGGCAGAAGGTGGGCTTCACTTTATTTCTTTATTTTAAACAGCTATACATATCCTATGAGTGAAGAAATGGTGCTCCATAAATTTGGCATTGTTTTACATGTAAAATTATTGAAGGTTGGGGTGCTTGGCTGGCTCAGTCGGTTGAGCACATAGCTCTTGATCTCAGAGTTGTAAGTTCAAGCCCCATGTTGGATGTAGAGCTTAAAAATAAAAACTTAAAGAAAAAAAATTATCCAAAGTCTAAGTGATTGAGTCCTCCATAACACAGTATTGGTGAATGTATTCATAGATTCCATCTGCCCATTATACCTGCACCATTGATGCCAAAGCTTTGTACAATTTGTATCTGAAATAACTTAGCATAAGCACTTCATTTCACAAATGTGAAAACAAGTCAAGTGACTCATACAATATAACATGACAAATTATTTGAAGATCAAGGATCAAACTTCAAGTCTTTTCACTATTCCTTAATTTTCATCACCCTACTGACTTGTTTTTTAAAGCATCATTTGCGAACAATATCTGACTACACTTCCAAAGATAATTACCTCATCCTTAGTATTAGGAAATTATAGTTTTTTCTCATCGATTATGATCCTCAAGGTGAAAGGGGTGACACTTGTACATTCTTTCTGAAAAAGTAACTTTACCCCAAAATGCCTCACTCAAAATCCTTAAAATATCAGTGTTGTCATGTTCTGTCCTTCACACCCCCATTCTGCATGCATGCATGTGTGTTTGCTTTTTGTTAAAATAAAAGTTTTAAATACCCAACTGGGGGTGCCTGGGTGGCTCAGTTGGTTAAGCGACTCCCTTCGGCTCAGGTCATGATCCTGGAGTCCCGGGATCGAGTCCCACATCGGGCTCCCTGCTCAGCAGGGAGTCTGCTTCTCCCTCTGACCCTCTTCCCTCTCGTGCTCTCTATCTCTCATTCTCTCTCTCTCAAATAAATAAAATCTTAAAAAAAAACACCCAACTGGAAGTACACAAACGTACAAGAATTATTAATCACAAAGATTTTTTTTAATTACAAAGATTTTGAGGGATAAAATTTTAAAAGGATTTTTAAGTTATGCTAGTATATTTAAGCCTCAATAGAGCCTACATTCTACTTGCTAATAATTCAACTTAGAATAGTTTTAATGCATAAAATGGAAGTGTATCTAATGTTATGAGTGACTACATTCTTGTGAAACTTCTTGATATTGAATTATTAAATTAAGCCAGAAGACAAATCCTGGAACATGGAATAATTAAATATCTATCTCAATTCCTGCTGAAGATGGCAAATTGAGCACACATATCTAATTCCCTTCCCTACCAAGAACCCACTGAAGTGACAGAAGACAGATACTTAAAAATACAATAATAGCACATAAAAACTGTAAAGTAACTGAGGATAAAACTAACATCAGTCCTACCTAAGTAAAACATAAAATGGAGAATCCATAAAGGAAAAAAAAATCAACAAATTTAGCTAAACAAATAGTAAGACCTCTGAGGAAAAAAAAAGAAACATAAATAAAATAAGACAGAGGTACTCTACAAGCAACTATTAATAAAATACATTTTTTCATGGCAAATATAAGAATACATACAATGTCTAGGTATCATTAAGAAATAACTAAAAACATGGGCAAAGGTAGAAATAAGTCAAGCATTTCATAAAATATGAAATACAAATCATCAAAAAATACATTAAAAAATGCTCAACTAGGGACACATGGGTGGCTCAGTTGGTTAAGCATCTGCCTTCAGCTCAGGTCATGATCTCAGGGTCCTGGGATCAAGCCCCACATCAGGCTCCCTGCTCAATGGGGAGCCTGCTTCTCCCTCTGCCTGCCACTCCTCCTGCTTGTGCTCTCTCTCTCTCTCTCTCTGACATAAATAAAATCTTTAAAAAATATGTTCAATTTATTTTCTAATCAAGAAATGCAAATTAAAACAATATTATACTTTTAACTCATTAGTAAAAAGAGGAATTTTATACATCTGTAAAAAATTTAATAAATTCATAAGATGGAAAAATGATCAAGACATGATTAAGTCAACAAAGTAAGCTAACGAGTGATAATCATATTTATGTTAAAAATAACCTAAGTAAATTATTAATAGTGGTTACTTACAGAGAGGAAAGTTAAAGTTGTAGGGGAAGAGAAGAAAATGAGTGTTCCAATTTTGCTCTATGAACATATGTATATTTCTTCAACCATTTCCAAGAATATAACCTTGTAAAAAGTTAAAAAAGAAATGAAACCATAATACTAGATGACAAAAAAGGGTATCATCTAAAAAGACATTTTGCCAGAGTCTTACAAAATGTAAGCAAGGATGAAATTGATAGAAAAATAAAAGCAAAGCAAAACCATAGCCAAAAGACACCACAAATAAACAGAATTC